AGAAAGAAAGAAAGAAAGAAAGAAAGAAAGAAAGAAAGAAAGAAAGAAAGAAAGAAAGAAAGAAAAGAAAAGAAAAGAAAAGAAAAGAAAAAGGACGGTGGCGGTCCTGGGTGCTCTCTGAGCTGGGTGGTTTCCTTGCAGACGTTTCGTGACCCAACTAGGGAACACCATCAGTGCTAGAAGGGAAGGGGGTTTGCATAGAGGAGGAGGAGGAGGAAGAGGAGGAGAGAAGGATGAAAAGGAGGAGGAGAGACTACGGGGTCCTTGGCGCTCTCTGATCTGGGTTGTTTCCTTGCAGACATTTCGTGACCCAACTAGGGAACGTCATCAGTGCTAGAAGGGAGTGGGGTTCAAGGCGCCCTCCGTGTCTCCTTCCCCTTTCCAAAGGCAAAGAGCCGGCTTGACTGACAGAGGAGATCAGGAAGGGGGGGGGGAACCCTCCATAAACAAAGTGGGCAGGAGTGGCAGCTTTGTCAAGGAGTCGGAATGCCCGCTTGGCACGGACTCCGATTTCCTGGCATCCCCAAAAGGGCGAAATAATGACCGCATCCTGGTGGATCCGGCCAGTTGCCCAGGAAGGAAGGAAGGAAGGAAGGACGGATGGATGGATGCTGGCTGGCTTCAGAGGCTTGCCCACCTGCCCTCGGTGTGTCGAGTTTCCCCCCTCCAGGCTCTGGTGGAGACCTGTAGTAACCTGGGAGTGGCTTCCGATGGGCGCTGGGCAAGCCGGGAGCCCTTCTCCTCCTCCTCCTCCTCCTTCTCCTCTCGCAGGCGTGTAAAGGCGGAGGAAGTGATGTCAGGCAGTAGTTAAACTGGGAAGAGCAGCCAGCCGGGCGGGTGACTCGGTTGGCAGCCATGTGCCCCACCCACCTCTGGAGATTTACTCCCGATAGTTGGTGGCTGAGTAGGCAAAACTAGGTTACTGAAGGAGAGCAAGGGGGGGGGGCTTCTGCTTCAAACTCTGTGCCTCCCTCCCTCCCTCTCTCTGCAGACCCCTCCCCTCCCCAGAGAGGTTTTGCGTAGCTTCCGAGTCCTTGGCACAACCCCCGGGGAGGTGGGCTTGACGGAGAGCCCAGGGGTGGGAGGGGTCACCATCATTGCCTCCCCCTGCCCCAGATTGATTCTGGCAGGGCAGGCCCAGTGGGGAGAGGGTGGGCTTTTCAAATTAGGGCCTTTCGCTTTGGATTGTGTGCTTGCCGCAGTGGTAGTGAAAGCACTTTTGGTGTGTCTCTTTCAGGGTGCAGGGGTCTTAAGTGGGCTTAGTAAGAAGGCCTAGCAAGAGACAGGCAGAATAAGAGCTGGAAGGGACCTCGGAGGTCTTCTAGTCCAACCCCCTGCTCAAGAAGCAGACCTTATACTATTTGAATCAGAATATAGCTGGAAGGGACCTCGGAGATCTTCTAGTCCAACCCCCTGCTCAAGCAGGAGACCCTATACTATTTCAATCAGAACTGAGCTGGAAGGGACCTCAGAGATCTTCTAGTCCAACCCACTGCTCGAGCAGGAGACCCTATACTATTTGAATCAGAATGGATCTGGAAGGGACCTCGGAGGTCTTCTAGTCCAACCCACTGCTCGAGCAGGAGACCCTATACTATTTGAATCAGAATGGATCTGGAAGGGACCTCGGAGGTCTTCTAGTCCAACCCCCTGCTCAAGCAGGAGACCCTATACTATTTGAATCAGAATGGATCTGGAAGGGACCTCGGAGGTCTTCTAGTCCAATCCCCTGCTCAAGCAGGAGACCCTATACTATTTCAATCAGAACCGAGCTGGAAGGGACCTCAGAGATCTTCTAGTCCAACCCCCTGCTCAAGCTGGAGACCTTATACCATTTCAATCAATCAATGAGACCAGAGCTGGAAGGCACCTTGGAGGTCTTCTAGTCCACCCGCCCCCTGCTCAAGCAGATGACCCTAGACCATCTCAGACAAACGGCTGACCAATCTCTTCTCAGAAACCTCCAGTGATGGAGCACCCACCACTTCTGGTGGCAAGCTGTTCCACTGGTTAATTGTCCTCCCTGTTAGGAAGTTTCTCCTTAATTCCAGGTTGCTTCTCTCCTTGGTTAGCCTCCCTCCGTCGCCCCTTGTCCTGCCTTGGGGTGCTGTTCCCTCCCGGCTCCCCAGTGGACCGGTCAAGGCAGGCGTTGCCGTGCTCAGGTGCCCCGTCCGTCTTTTCCCCGGGCTGGGTGACTCAGTTTCCTCCTGGGCATCACCCTCCCCTCCCTGGGCAGGAGAATCTCTTCCATCCCTCGGTTGTGGCTTGACTTCTTTTCATTAATAACACACCTTTCAAGTTGTCATTAGGCGCAAGGGGTGTTTCTCTCGACAGGAAGGGCGCTACGACCAATTTCCTTCCCTAGCCCGGCTTTCTCCCACACGCCAGGAGCGAAAATGGTGTCGGGTTTCCTGCCTGAACATGGGGGTTGGACTAGATGACCTCCAAGGCCCCTTCCCACTTTTTATTATCTTTTCTTCATTAGACATGAGCCTCAGTCAACTGAACATTCAAATTATTATTATTATTATTATTATTATTATTACTACTACTACTACTACTACTACTACTACTACTACTAAATGGAGGTTCCCCTTTGGGAAACTGAGGCCGGGAGGGAGTAGACAGCGTGGAGATATTTTATTTTTTTAGGGAAAGGGGGAAAAAAGAGCCTGAAATTTGGGGAGAATTACGGTCAGTATACAGGTAGTCCTCGACTTAACAATGGTTTGTTTAGTGACCGTTTGAAATTAAAGGCACTGAAAGAAGGGACTTAGGACCGTTTTTCACACTTAACAACCATTGCAGCATCCATTGTGGTCACGTGATCAAAATTCAGACGCAAGGCAACCGACTCGTATTTATGACGGTCGCAGTGCCCCGGGATCACGTGATCCCCTTTTGCAACCTGACAAGCAAAGTCAACGGGGAAGCCAGCTCTGTTCTTGATTGATTGATTGATTGATATGATTTAGGGTCTCTTCCTTGAGCAGGGGGTTGGACTAGAAGACCTCCAAGATCCCTTCCAGCTCTGTTCTCATTGATTGATTGATTGATTTTGATTGATTGATTGATATGATTTAGGGTCTCTTGCTTGAGCAGGGGGGTGGACTAGAAGACCTCCAAGGTCCCTTCCAGTTCTTATTCTGATTGATTGATTGGTCTAGAGTCCCCTGTTTGAGCAGGGGGCTGGACTAGAAGACCTCTGAGGTCCCTTCCGGCTCTTATTCTGATTGATTGAGGCTGAGGAGCTGTCCAAAGGTGGAGATTTCCCTGCTTTTTCTTCACAATACGTTCAGAGTAGGTGGGCTACTCTTGGTCCCCTATTGTCGGTGTCACCCGGAGGCTGACACCTACTGTGGGGTTTGTGGTTGGGCTGCACCCCAGGATGGTTGGTGAACACCAAGGGCGCTTTGTAATGGAGTGTCCGGTTAGGAGTGGCCGGTGGCCACAGTCCTCTCTGCATCGGTCACGGCTCCTTTCAGAGGGGGGGTGGGCTGCTGCCCAGCCCTGGAGAAACGGACCCTCCACCCTTCTCCTCTGACCCTGGGGCAATATTCTGACGCTTCCCTCTTTCTCCTCTCTCCAGGGAGTCAAAGTGGTCGCTGACAACCATGGATTCCTTTTGAAAACCCCACGAGGCTGAGCATTGTCCACCACAGGCCATGTCCACTACAGGCATCGCAGCCCAGGAGGTCAACATCTCCTTGAACTCGGGCTTTCTCCGTAATGGAAGCCTGGAGGCCTGTTGCCGTCGCCACAACCGCCAGCTTGCCAAGTGAGTTGTGGGGCAGGGAGGCGGCACCCATCCGGGGGGTCTTAGCATACGTTGGGGTTAGACCGTCCGTGTTTGCCATCTCATGTATGGATGTTCTTCCTCCCTTCTCTTTCAGCCCGTTCTTCAGCGTGGACTCTGTCGCAATGGCCTGCAACTTGAACCCAGGGCAGCATCCTTTGTCCTCCGTTGGTAGGTACACCGGGGTTACACTCGCACCGTTGGTAGGTACACCGGGTTACACTCGCACAAATGGAGCTGCACACGCTTGTCCGGCGCTCATGCAGAACCATCCCCGCCCTCCACCCCCACCCCGGGCCGGTCCACAAAGCCAGAAAGGTTGGTGAACTCCACTCTACACAAAAGGAAGCGTTTCCTGTGGAGTCCTTAGTGTTTCCAATGATCCAAAATGCGTGTATTGATTCCAAAGTTCCTTTCCTCCTAGGCCAGGTCTCCGGTCCCGATCCAGATTGTGGTCCGAGCTGCATCTGGAGAGCCAGCCCTTCTCTCCTTCGCCCCCCTGTCCCTTCCACCTCCGAAGATGGCCTCGCTTCTGGCTTCGGTGGACTTTCTCTGACCATGAACCGCAACCCTGAGGAGATGCCTTCTCACATTCCGGGGAAGAGTGGACCACTCCTCTCCCTTCCCCTGTCTTCTGTGGAGCGAAGCGCCCGACCCCTGCCTCCTCTGCCCATCACCGAAGGCTTCCTGCACGACGAGGTGGACCGGGAGGTTGAGTTCTTGACCTGTTCGGACACCGATTTCTTGCTGGAAAACTGCCCTAGCCCTGGTTTTAAGCTGTCGGCCCAGGGTAGGCGAAGCTTCAGGGGCTGTGGCCAGATTAACTATGCCTACTTCGACGGTCCGGCAGAGGGGAAGCCTCAACAGGGCAGCGCCCCAGAGGGTGCCTGTCCTCCCCCACCACCTCCACAACAGTCCCATCGGCGGTTGCGTCGTTCTCATTCCGGCCCAGCTGGGTCCTTCCACAAGCCGTCGGTCAGGGTCTCCGGCCACGTCTGTCGCTCCTCTCCCAGCTCCGATGACGATAAGCCCGAGGTTCCTCCCCGGGCACCTCTGCCACCCCGGCCACTCAAGCCCGATTATCGGAGGTGGTCAGCTGAAGTGACCACCAGCGCTTACAACGACGAGGAGAAACCGCCCAAGATCCCTCCGCGAGAACCTCTGCCCTGGAGCCATTCCCGAACGCCGAGTCCCAAAACGTTGCCGGCATACCTCCACGGGGTCATGCCTCCGACCCAGAGTTTTGCCCCGGATCCGAAGTACGTCAGCAGCAAAGCTCTCCTGAGGCAGAACAGCGAAGGCTCTGCCCACAAGGTGCCCTGTATCCTGCCCATCATCGAAAACGGCAAGAAAGTCAGCTCCACCCACTATTATCTTTTACCGGAGAGACCCCCCTATTTGGACAAATACGAGATGTTCTTCCGGGAAGCCGAAGAGGGCAGCTTGAGGCCGGAGGAAGGGCAGCAGGCGGCCCACGGGCCCGCCACGCTGGTCAAGGCTGACTTGGGAGGACTAGTAAAACGCAAACACTTGGCCTGCATGGTTTCCCCGTAGGGACCAAGGGTTAGAGCACCGCAGCGAGCGTTGAAAAGATATTTGAATCCGAGAATGACAACTCTGCTCCAAGGGACTTGTGCAAAGACTTAACCTGGACGTAAAGGGGAGGCAGAGACACCAGCGCTGGAGCCTCTTGGACAGACAGCAATGGTAGCAACATCCTGGTTCAACTTGCCGACACCCATTTCCCCGGGGCAGGACAAAACGTGGAGGAGAACAAGCCTACACAACTCAAGTTGGCCAGTTATTGAATATTCTAGAGCAGGGGTCTCCAAGCGTTCCCGCTTTGCAGAATGGAGTGTTTCAAGGAAGAGGGGATGGCGCTGCCCGTGTACGCGCAGCTCCATTTGTCCGAGCGGCGGGCACGCCGTGTCTGCCCCTTGCACAAATGGAGCTGCGTGCGTACGCTCGCCCTGCCACTCGGTTTTGAACCCGTAGTGGGCTGTGGCCCTGGGGTTGGGGACCTCTGCTCTAGAGGAATATATACATATATGTAGAAACTCACCTACGAAGAGCGACGGAATTGTAGTCTTGTTAAGGAGACCGCTGGCTTTGGCTGAAAGCCCAGAAGAAAGCAAATTCAGTATTTTTGTGGGTGTTAATAGACGTTTTTTTTCCCACTTGGGGGTGTCGGTAGCCTTTTAAATTATTTCTGTCCCGGGATGTTCTGTTCTCTTGCTTGGGAGGGGTGATGGAGCTCTCCCAGGCTGATGTTCCCTCCAGTGAGGAAAAACACGGCCACGGGCAGAGTTAGCCACCCACTTCCCCGTCCCTCCGCTCGTCCCTTCTTTGGCAGCTATCGTCATCGTGAGCTGCGAGAAAAATTCATTTGATTTCTCTACATCCGCAGTCCCCAACCTTCCTAGTCTGGTGGCCCGGCCAGAGAAAGGATTTTTTTGCGTTGAGTGCACACTAACTTTATTTGGGCTTGGCGCAAATGGACCTTTGCGCCTGAGCCGAGCGCTCGCTGTTCGTGCAAGTGAAGCTGCGCGCGCGAGCGCCCATCACCCACGCAATTAAAGCCCCGTGCGTGCAGGCACCCGCCTGCCACTGATGCGGCCCGGTTCTAAACCGGCCACAGGCCGGGGATTGGGGATCCATGCTCTAGATCAGGGGTGCCCACCCCATTGCTGGCAATGGCAAAAAAATGTTGCGATACGTCGCGACATGTCACGCGACGTTGCGAGTTTGACACCCCTGCTCTAGATCCACGGCTCTGTGTTTCTGCAGCCGGAGAGGGCATTGTGTGACCCACACGTAAGCGAAAAGTTGCGTTCCAACTTAAGACACTCTGTTTGCTTGAAAAGGGGACCAATTGTGTAGGGGACCCAATTGTGGGTCCCGAATCTTGGGAACGAAGCCTGCTTGGTCCCTGGGAAGCGTCCCAGGGCCTTTGAATCTCATTTCTGATCCACGGAGGGTCTCGTTCCGTGGATGACTTGTTCGTTTTCACACACACTCACACGCACACTTTATAAATAAGGAGAAGGCGAGAAGGTGCTCTCCGACCAAGGACTGTCCGTGGCCTTTGTATTAACACAACCCCATTGTTTACACTGACCTAACCGTTAAAATGGGAACATTTTTTTTGTTTTTTTTTCCCTGACATTGTAGGCAAGCTGACCGTTCTAGGACAAGCGAAATGAAGGCAACGTTAATAACAGAAACAATGCACTGAAAAAACTTATGTAGGGGATGTACAGTATTGAGGAATTGTGTACCAGTTGTGTTTTGGATATATTGTCACGTCTTGGATTTAATAAAGTTACGACATACTTATTTATGGTAACCGAGCAGCTCCCACGTTTATTGATCAGCCGGCGTCCCCTCCCTGCTCTGACTTCGGTCCCTCTCTCTGCTCACCAGACTGGGAGCCAGCCTGAGTTGCCAAATAGAATTTTGTCACCCGGCTTCGTTGTAGGGTGTGTGTTTCTGCTCACTCCACATTGGTCAATCACATCATACGATGTGCCTATCAAAATTGGGCAGTCTGCCACGCTTGGAGGTTTCTGGCTACACAAGTTGTAGGCAGGATTAGAAGCGAGGCAGTTGCTAGTCGGGACAATATAAACGTCCTTGAGGTACGACGACGGGTTTTTTTTTTTTGTTGCTAAGCAAGGCACAACTCATGCACAGTTTGGTGACCTTTTATGCCACGGTTGTTGCGAATTGCCCAGTTAAGCAAATCCGCCTTCCCTTATTTGATTTTGCTTTTGGGGAAGGATATCTGATGATCATAGGACCTCGGGGTGCCGTTCAATCGATCACAAGAGAGCTGGAAGGGACCTCGGAGGTCATCTAGTCCAACCCTCTGCTCAAGCAGGAGACCCTAGACCAGGGGTAGGCAACCTTGGCTCTTTTATGACTCGTGGACTTCAACTCCCAGAATTCCTGAGCCAGCATGGCTCAGCTTGGAAACCTCTCCCTTTTCCCTCAGCATGGCTGGCTCAGGAATTCTGGGAGTTGAAGTCCACGGGTCATAAAAGAGCCAAGGTTGCCTACCCCTGCCCTAGACCAATCAATCAGAATAGAGCTGGGATCCTGGAGGTCACCTAGTCCAGCCCCTTGCTCAAGCAGGAGACCCTAGACCAATCAATCAGAATAGAGCTGGAAGGGGCCCTGGAGGTCACCTAGTCTAACCCCTTGCTCAAGCAGGAGACCCTAGACCAATCCTTCCTAATAGATTTTGGTTTGCAAACCTTTTGCCATGCCTCCTAATTTGCATGTTTAAAGAACCTGTTTCAAGTCATCCTGCAAGACTTGCATCATGAAATGGCTTGCTAAATAAATTATGACACGGGCCTACTTAATTCCGATTATACGGTAGGGTGTATATGTGTCCCTGCGCCGAAATACCCGAGTGCTGGGATCAAACACACAGATCTGATTTCCTAGGATTAATTACAAACGGGTGCTTGACGGGGGAAGGCTGTCCTTGAGAGTTAAAATTAAAAATTAAATTAAATTTTCAAAATTAACACCTTAAACCGTCGTGCCAACTCGAGGACTCCCTGTATAACCATGGCTAGCAAATCTTTAAGACAAGTTTGCAACTGGTGTGTCTACACACTTTTGTGTGTGTTGCTGCCGCAGGCAGTTTGGGACACAACACCGTCCCATTTAGGGACCATTTGAAGCGACAACAGAAAAAGCGACGAATGGTCCTCATCCTTACGACCGTCGCCGTGCATGTAGGTCACATGATCAGAATTCAGATGTTTTGGCAAGTTGTGAAGATGGCAGCAAATGCTGCCCTCCAGTGGCTGCTTTTGGGCATTACAACTGGCAAAGGCGGGGGGGGGGAAGGACCAAATCCTGCCCAATGCCCCCCCCCACTGCAAAGAGGCAGGGCAAAGCTTCCCTCCAAGTTTTTAATATATATATTGTTTTTATTGCCGAATATATATATTAACATAATCATTAATATTTGGTAAACAGCACGTTGTCTGGTTTTATCTTTACAATCAATAAGAATTAATTTCTATAATTCCATACTCCACCTAGTGGTTTTCCTGATTTTCTCCTCTTCCAATATCCTTTTATTATCAAAATTTATCAATTCTGGGGGCTCCCTTAGGGACTATCTGTGTTTACTCGCTGGGGTTTCAATTCTGATCCTCGGCTTGATTTTTTTTTCCTTGCCCAAGGTTTGATTTATTTATATATCTATATATAAATAACAATTTTGTTCTGCCTTGATGGGGTGAGGTTTTTTGTTTTTTTTTAAATGATCCCCAGCCACGAGACAACTCAGTTTAACACGTATCCTCTTTATTGCAAGAATTAAGTTTGCCAAGCGACATTGGCAGCCCCGCTTGGTTCCTTTGGCGCTCCGCCTTCCAACAAAAAGGACCCGGTCGTAAAGACGAAGCAGGCGAGTGACGGGGTTCTAGACTGGGTTCTAGTCCTTCAGGACGAGTGGCGCCTTCGTCTGGGCCGCCACTTCCTTGCCCAGCAGGGTCTCCACGATGGCAAGGCCAAATTCGAAACTGGTGCCAGGCCCCCGGCTGGTCATGATGTGCCCGTCTTTCTCCACCCGATTCTCCGAGTAGTTGTAGTGATCTTAAAAGGAGGAGGAACAGTTACTCCCAGGCTGACAAATTGGCACCCAACCCCTTCAAAAGCAGAACAAGATGACGCAAAGTCCGGATCCACTCCGGATTCAAGAATAACACCCGCCCTTCCCTGCCACTTCCGTGGCCCGGTTCCGAAGGATTCAAGGTTGTGGGCCGTGGCCTGGGGACCCCCTGATCTAGATTATGTTCTGGAGAATAATAAACCTCTGCTGACCCACAACCCATGCGCCACTCTCCCTCCCCGTGAGAAAAGGTGTGGACACTGACCCCCGTTCATCATCTTCTCTTTCGCCAAAGGGTGGGTGGTCACTTTGCTGCCAAAGCCGATTCCATGCGCAAGGAGCGCCGTGGGACCTGCGGGTCAACGGAGGAGAAGAGAGAGGTGATTCTCTCTGTCACCGCCAGCTCCAGTACAAAAGGATCACCAGCTGGGTTATTCGTTCAGACACTTGGCAGCTGAACTGACTCATACTTATGACCGCCGCAGTTTCCTGGGGGTGTCACGTGATCCCCTTTTGCAACCTTCCGACAAGCAAAGTCAATGGGGAAGCCAGAATCATTTAAGAACCGTGTGACTTTATTATTATTCTTAGAATTTTATTTGCAGCTTCCGGAGGCTTAGAATTTTATTTGCAGCTTTTGGATTCTTACAACTTTTATTTGCAGCTTCCAGAAGCTTAGAATTTTATTTGCAGCCTCTGGATTATTACAATTTTAATTGCAGCTTCTGGATTCTTAACCGTTTTATTTGCAGCTTCCGGAGGCTTAGAATTCTATTTGCAGCTTCCGGATTCTTACCATTTTATTGGAAGCCTGCAGAGCCAGGCCCAGTCATTGCAGCCAATCAGTAAAGGCCCCAAATCCGAGTATTCCAATGGGGGCTGGGCTAGCCCACCATTCCTCAAAGGTGGAGCTAGGAACTTACCTGCACAGATGGCTGCAATGAGGCCTTTCCGGCTGTCCTGATCCTTCAAGATGTCTTTCACGAGGGGAGACTGCAAGAATAGATCAAAGAGAGGGAATAATAATAATAATAATAATAATAATAATAATAATAATAATAATAATAATAATAATAATATGATGATGATGATGATGATGATGATGTTGGAAGGGACCTTGGAGGTCATCTAGTCCAACCCCCTGCTCAGGCAGAAAATCTTATACCATTTCAGACAAATGGCTGTCCAGTCTCTTCTTAAAAACTTCCAGTGTTGGAGCACCCACACCACAACTTCTGGAGGCAGGTTGTTCCACTGGTTAATTGTTCTGACTGTCAGGAAGTTTCTCCTTAGTTCCAGGTTGCTTCTCTCCTTGGTTAGTTTCCCTCCGTTGCTTCTTGTCCTGCCTTCAGACACTTTTGGAGAATAGCTTGACTCCCTCTTCTTTGTGGCAACCCCTGAGATACTGGAAGACTGCTATCATGTCCCCCCACGTCCTTCTCTTCATTAATCATTTTCAAAAATAAAATAAATGGTAGTCCTTTTAGCAGAACTCCTGAAAAAAATGGGAGATTACAGCCCCATCGCGTTCTCTTTCAGAAAAATAGAAAATCAACTCTGGTATTTTTTTACCTCTGATAAGTTCTGAGCCCCCAGGTTGCCTCCGGGCAGGACCACCACATCGTAGGGCCCCTAATAAAATGAGAAAAAAAGTCACTCCATACACACAGTCCTCGACTTAACGGCCACAACTGAGAAACACCCCTCTAAAAAATGAAAAGTAAGGCTGTCCCAAAGACACCCCCCCCCCCGTGTCAACATCCAGTCCAAGAAACCAAATAAGTCACCAGGCTCATTCCGTTTCCAGAAATCTTAACTACTGAATACATGGCATGCCGTATTTCCCCAAAATTAAAACCGGCTCTTAATTTATATTATTTTTTTAATATTAATTATATTTATATTAATTTATATTAAATTTTGCTCCAAAAGATGCATGAAGGCTTATTTTCAGCTGATGCCTTATTTTTTTTTCACGTACAACAAAATAAATAATGTCCATAATATTATTTATTTGTTTAATTATATATTATTTTATAATTCAATATGTCTGTTGTGTGTTGCAACGGAGGTACTAAATGTGTCCGTCTGGCTGACAATCTTAACCAGGGCTTATTTTTTGAGTAGGGTTTATATTACGAACATCCTGAAGAATCAAGCTACAGTTTATTTTTCCAGTTAGATCTTATTTTCGAGGAAATAACAGTAGTACTCTCAAAGTAAAATTCACTCTGAGGTTCCCAGACACCAGATCAAAGATTTAAACAATAATCTCTTTGCTCAAGGACCCCCCCCCCCTCCCTGCCCTTTCACATAGTAAACCATTTCCCTTTGTTATGGGAACTGGCTGCTTTTCTTCGTCACCTGCTTCGGTGTCCTTGGAAGCGGCTCGGGGTCTCAAGGGTATTCAGCAGAATCAACAAAAGTTTCATTTCTCCATCTGAACACTTTTCAAAGCCACACCTCCTCAACTCTTAATGGCAAGTTGAAACGAAGAGGCCAAAGTTTCATTCTTGACACTGCACTTAAAAAAAAGGGGGGGGGGGCACAAACCTTTTTCCGCGCCTCTTCCAAACTCGCGTCAGGACAAATCACCACGTCACGGCTACACTGCACGGGGTCCTTTCCAGACAGGCCCGCTATGGTGACAGAAATCTGTTAGGAAAACGGCAGCGCTTCAGTGAGTAGAAATACACCGAATGAAGAAAAGCATCTAAGCTGCATAAGAGTTGCTTAGCCTTGCCCGCTTTAAGAATAGGATAGACCCAGGGTCTTCCAACGTGGCCCTTTTATTATGACTGGTGGACTTCAACTCCCAGAATTCCTCAGCCAGCATGCACCCTGGGAGTTGAAGTCCACCAGTCACAAATAGGGTTGCCAGGTGTCCACTATTTGAGTGGACAGTCTGCTTTTTTCACATTATGTTCACTATTTTTTTTCACAAAATAGTGGACATTTTTTTTATGCAAAAGCTTTATGATGAAATGGTACGTAATCTAAAGCTGTACAGTCTACTTTTTTTTACTATTTAACACCCCCCCCCCCGCTTGTCCGCTATTTTTTGGAAGCAGACCTGGCAACCCTAGTCACAAAAGGGCCACGTTTGAAGACCCCTGGGATAGAGACTCTGTTCTCTATACATTGATGGCTTTTCAACAATGGAGGAAAGGAGAATTGTGTATTTTAGTTGCCTTGGGAGGTGGTGGCAGACAAAGGCCTTTTTTTGGGGGGGGGGAGAGGGGTCAGCTCCGCACAGGGACTTACTCCTGCCCTCCGCATCAGATCCGTCGGGATGACCGTTTCCATTTCTTCGGCCCCCTTGGCCAAGATCACCAGCGCTCGTTTGGAGCCCATGGGGAAGCCGCGGCGGTGGTCCTGCAAGGGGAGGGGGCAAAGCGCCTTGAGAAGCGAGCGAGCGGGCGGGGGGGGGACTTTGGGCAACGACCCTCCCGCCGGGTCCCACGCCAGACCCCCAGCCGCTTTCCCGGGAGGAGAAACCGCTCTCCCGGGAGAAGAGAGACCAGCCAGCCGTCGTGCGTCCGCGCGCAAAGCTGGCCAGCCTTCGTCCCGGGACTGCGAGTTGGGCCGACCCGTTGGGGAGACCCCGGCCCGGGAAGGGGCGAGGGACGGACGGAGGGACCCGTTGGGGAGACCCCGGCTTGGGAAAGGGCTGCTGGACGGGGGGCGACCACGCGGTTCTTACGATCAGACTCGGTTACGGCTCTGCTCCGTGCGCGCTCTGCTCCGCCGGGCCGGTGCTGCGTCACGGGAGGGGGGAGGCGCCTTTGGGGAGGGGGCGGCGCCTTTGGGGGGGCGGTGCCGGGAGGGTGGAGGAGGAGGTGGCTCCCCGGGGGGGCGGGGCAGGGAAGGGGCGCGCGACCCCCCCTCCCCAGAGCCTGCAGGGCATGGCGCGCGGGGTCTCTCCCGTGCGCAAAAAGCGGGGCTCGCGCGTCTCAGCTGGGCGCATGGCACCCCTTGCAAAAAGGCAACTTGCAATTGGGGGGGGGGGTTGTTGATGCACGGCTCCCCCCCCCCGGAATGCTGGGGGGGGGGGGGGGGGGGGGTGAGTGAGTGGGTGGGGGTCCCAAAGGTAGAAGGGGCTGCTCAGCTTGGGAAATGCAGAGCGCGGAGCGGTGCCCAGGAAGGCTCCCCGGCTTAGCCCCCAAAGCAGCGCATCAGCAGCCCAGCGTTTCCCAACCCGGCCCATTTGTGGACTTCCATTTCCCCAAATTCCTGGGCTGGGCTGAGGATTCTGGGAGTTGAAGGCCTCCTAACCCGGAAGTGGCCCAGGTTGCGGAACCCGGAAGTGGATTCTGGAAGGAATGGTGGGAAATGTTCTTTTCGGAACTTTGCAGCGACTCGGGCATTCGGGACTCATAAGACCCCTTTTTTGTTTTCTCCAGTGCCGTTGTCACTTGGAACGGTCACTAAGTGAACTGTTGTAAAAAGGACGACGGCACTCGATTTTCTCCCAGGACTTGACCCGCAAAGGGTGTGTGTGTGTGTGTGTGTGTGTGTGTGTGCGCAGACACACCTGACGGCGATCTATTTCAACCCCGTAACCTTTCGGCCAGCCTATTTTGGGACCTGAATTTTAACACCTCCTTAAAATAGCAGAGGTCATATCTTCAAAAAGTCCACAGACTGGGAATGCACCGGCCTCTGAGTAATAAAAATCATAATAATAAAAATCATAATTAAAAATAACTAATAATAAAGTTGGAAGGGACCTTAGAGGTCATCTAGCCCAACCCCCTGCTCAAGCAGGAGACCCCAGACCAGGCAACCTTGGCTCTTTTATGACTCGTGGAGTTCAACTCCCAGAATTCCTGAGCCAGTAAAAGGAAGAGCGTCTGGATTTCCTGCGGGGGGGGAAGGGGTCGTGGCGCGCCCCTCACCCCCACCTGAGGGATCGCGGGGGCTTCCCTGCCGCGCCTTCAACCAGAGGGGCTTTCCCTCCCCCCCCCCACTTCGGCAGCCGGGGCTGACGATGACGTATTCCGCAGAGGGGGCTCCCCCTTTGCTTGGGGGGGGGGATGCCGGTGGGAGCCAAGGGGAGGAGTTTTGCGAGCGAGGGAGGCCGCGAAGAAGGTCACAGCCGCGGCGGATCTGCCCACTCCCCCGCCGGAGATGGAGCACGTGGAACCCGTCCGGACGCTGAGCTCTGGCCCTCGCGGGGTCTCGCAACGCCCGTTGAGAAACCCCCCCTCCCCCGTTGAAGGCGAGGGAAGGTGCTCCTCTCTCGCCTGTTAGGACAGCCCAGCCCAGCCAGGCACCAATCAGATTAGGGCTGGAAGGGACCTTGGAGGTCTTCTAGTCCAGCCCCCCTGCTCAAGGAGGAGACCCTAGATCATTTCCATCAATCAATCAATCAGAATAAGAGTTGGAAGGGACCTTGGAGGCCTTCTAGTCCACCCCCCTGCTCAAGCAGGAGAGCCTAGACCATTTCCATCAATCAATCAATCAGAATAAGAGTTGGAAGGGACCTTGGAGGTCTTCTAGTCCAACCCCCTGCTCAAGCAGGAGCCTAGACCATTTCAATCAATCAATCAATCAATCAATCAATCAATCAATCAGAATAAGAGTTGGAAGGGACCTTGGAGGTCTTCTAGTCCAGCCCCCTGCTCAAGCAAGAGCCTAGACCATTTCAATCAATCAATCAATCAATCAATCAATCAATCAATCAATCAGAATAAGAGTTGGAAGGGACCTTGGAGGTCTTCTAGCAAGAGCCTAGACCATTTCAATCAATCAATCAATCAATCAATCAATCAATCAGAATAAGAGTTGGAAGGGACCTTGGAGGTCTTCTAGTCCAACCCTCTGCTCAAGCAGGAGACACTGACTATACCATTTCAAACAAGTGACTGTGTGGGAGCATTCATGACTTCTGGTGGCAAGGTCATCTAGTCCATCCCCCCCCCCCCCGGCTCAAGCAGGAGAGATTATGATCGCCCTTTTGGGTTCGGGGGAATTCTGGACTGCTACGGTGAAACTGTGCTAATCTGAAGAAGGTTGTTGCGTAGCTTCTCTTGTGGGTGGTTGAGTTGTTGCTTGGATGGCGGAATCGGTTAGTGGTTAGTGAGAGTTGCTTTCCAATACACAACGTGGGTTGTGGTATCTCCCATTGGTGCTGATAAGGATGTCCAGCAGTGATAATACTTATCTTATGAATGTCACGGCCTTCTCTGTTCCTTTTTTTTTTGTGGTGACAAAACTACCATCCAGTTTGTGGGGATTGTGAGTTCTAGTCCCGCCTTAGGCACAAAAACGAGCTGCGTGATTTGGGCCAATGCCCAGGAGACGGTGAGTTCAAGTCCCACCTTACCACTTTGGACAAGTCGCCGGGAGACGGTGAGGACTAGTCTCATTTTAGGTCTGAAAGCTGGCTGGGCAACCTGGGGTGAGTCCCTCCCTCCCTCCCATTAGCTAAGCTCGCCTCCCAGGGCTGTTGGGGAAAATAGGAGGAGGGTTAACTATCTTCGCTATCTTGAGTAATTTATAAAACTGATAAAAGGAAAATCAATCAGAATAAGGAGGAACTTCGTAAGGGAGAACAATGAACCAGTGGTTGCCTCCGGAAGTTGTGGGTGTTCCATCACTGGAGGTTTTTAAGAAGAGACTGGACAGCCACCTGTCTGAAATGGTATAGGGTCTGCTGCTTGAGCAGGGGGCTGGACTAGAAGACCTCCAAGGTCCCTCCCAGCTCTACTCCGATGGATTGATTGATCTGGGGTCTCCTGCTTGAGCAGGGGGCTGGACTAGACGACCTGCAAGGTCCCTCCCAGCTCTATTCCGATGGATTGATCTGGGGTCTCCTGCTTGAGCAGGGGGCTGGACTAGACGACCTCCAAGGTCCCTCCCAGCTCTATTCCGACGGATTGATCTGGGGTCTCCTGCTTAAGCAGGGGGCTGGACTAGACGACCTCCAAGGTCCCTCCCAGCTCTGTTAATCCGCTGACTCCGTTACTCTGCAAACCACGGAAAGCACACGCCCCCTCCCCACCCCACCCCACCCCAAACGCCACCATTCAATTGCGGGGATTCCAGCTGCTTTGCAGGTTGCCTCCCCCCCCACCCCACACCCCGGGCATGGGGTGGGTGGGTGGGTAGGTGGGGTCACGGCCCGCCCTGCGGGCTCAGTCGCCGCCTGGCCCCGCGTGGCGCCAGAAGACAGTAGCCCAGCCCAGGAGGAGGAGGAGGAGGAAAGCCCCGCGGAGCGCCCACCCACCCAGCCAGCCACCGGCAAACGCGCCGCGCTTCGGAGCCGATGGAGCGGCTGCTGTGGGCGCTGCTGCTGCTGCAGCCGCTGCTCCGGGTCCAAGTTCTGTGCAGGGTCTCCTGCCCGAACGGTGAGCCCCCCGGCCCGGTGATGCGACATGCCCCGGGTCGTGGGAACGGCCCCGGCCCCTTTCCCACGAGACGCGAGACACGCTGACTCGCCCTTCTTCCCTCTTTTAGGCACCTTCAGACCCGGGCAAGGCGAGTTTTGCCAGCAATGCAGCGTCTGCGACAGTAAGTAGACCACGCGGGGATCCCTCCGGTCAGCCTGGGGGAAGGGGGGGCTGGAAGGGGAGGGGGGGAGGTAGAGGGGATCCCTCCGGTCAGCCTGGGGGAAGGGGGGGCTGGACGGGGAGGGGGGGAGGTAGACCCCGGAGGCTACCCTTCCTCCGCTTTCAGGCCCTTGAGTCACGGTGTGTGGAGGGACACACCTCGTGGGGACAGAATAATGGAACAAGAGAGCTGGAAGGGACCTTGGAGGTCATCTAGTCCAACCCCCTGCTCAGGCAGGAAACCCTATACCATTCCAGATAAATGGTTGACCAGTCTCTTCTTAAAAACCTCCAGTGATGGAGCACCCACGACTTCTGGAGGCAGGTTGTTCCACTGGTTAATTGTCCTCACTGTCGGGAAGTTTCTCCTTCATTCCAGGTTGCTTCTCTCCTTGATTAGTGTCCATCCGTTATTCCTTGTCTGGCTTTCTGGTGCTTTGGAGAAGAGGTGGACCCCCCCCCCTTCTTTGTGGTAGCCCCTCAAATATTAAAACACTGCTATCACGTCACCCCTGGTCCTTCTCTTCATTAAACTAGACATCCCCAATTCCTGCCACCCTCCAGCCTCTTATCTGCTCTCTTTCTCAAGATCTTTTCTTACATCGTGGTAACCAAATACTCTCCAATCCTGGTTAACCACAACTTAAGACCTTTTTTTTTTCCCACCTGTTGCTAAATCCCCCCTCAAAGTCGCTTGAGTTCAGCTCGGAGGGAATCGCTTTCTCGGCAGATATAACATATTTTGTTTTTTGTTTTAATATTTTTAACCCTTAAGGAACTTTGGTGTACAAGCAGAAATGTACCGAAACCACAGACGCCGTTTGTGAATGCGCGCGGGGCTATTCGTGTGGGGAAAAGTGCGAGGCGTGCAAGTGTGCCCTGGGACAGCAAAGGACTTTCACAGGTAAGGTGGCCACTAAGTGGAGTAATTCTCTGTACAGACGGTCCTCGACTTACAAGTTTGTTTAGTGACTGTCCCAAGTTACAACAACTCTGAAAAAAATGCGACTTGGGACCGCGTTTCACGGTTACCACCGTCGCAGCATCCCCGTGGTCATGTGATCAAAATTCAGACGCTTGGCAACTGACTTGTACTTATGACGGCTGCAGCGGCCCGGGGGGGTTCCCGTGATCAAAATTAGGATCTGCTTGGCAACCGACTCGTACTTATGACGGCTGCAGCGTCCTGGGGTTCACGTCATCCCCTTTTGCGACCTTCAGACTCAGCAGTG